CTCACTCTCTCTCTCTCTCTCTCTAACTCTATCTCTCCACCGCGATCACGTTCGTTAACCGACAATGGACAGTGTCTACCTCGTGTCCTCGATGCTCGTTAAACAATTGATTGACCGACTCTGCTTTTTTTTCACACTTGCGATGATTCGCGCATAATTCCCTCGTCGAGGCTCCGAGGCACACGTGGCGCGGTGCACGCGTAAATATAGATAGTAAGTAAAGTACGCTGAGCAGGTACTGGAGCGAGTAATACATGCCGGCGGTTGCGCCATATCTTCGGTTTTGTCGCGTTTGGTACTAAATGTATTTGTATTCGTGTTACTGTAGCGTTCTCTGCTCGAACGCGTTACCTCGTTGTGTGTTCTCCTCCTCGTTAACTCCGTCTTTATGTACGTGTTTTATGTGTACGGTGTGTATGTGTGTGTGTGTGTGTGTGTGTGTGTTTCGTAAGGATGCTCGGGTACGTTGTGCTCCGTATTCCTAACATTCGTTAATTCATTCGCGCTCTGTCGGGGAAAAACGAGCCCTCTCACCGAGAGCGGCAGCAGAACAGTTCTCTTGGCCGATTTATTTGTGATTGAAAGAAAACGGAGATGGGCCCGTCACCGCGCTTCGATGGAAATGCACGTTCTGCCATTTGTTGTCTCTCTTGTGCCACACGCGGCTCTCCTCGCTTTGCTGGGTATGTGCTACACCTTGTCTGAGGATCAAGTAAAAGAAATGTTAATACATGTTGGTACAAAACTTGAACTAAACTACACTATATGAGACTATACATAATAGTCTCGTATAACATAGTTCTCGGAAAATTGCAGTCAAAATGGCATCTCCAGTGCAGAGAATATTATAGAATAAAATACATAAAAATGGAACCGCGCAGTTATTGAAACGGATAGTGAAGAATAATTTTTTTCTCTTTAAATAGCAAGTTTTAAATAAAAAGAAATTAAAAACCATTAGAATAGTACATTTTTAAGAAAGTCAAGTGTAATACAAAGACGGATTTGAAGAAATTAATAAGCTTTCTTCACACCTCTTCAACCACCTGGAGACCATCTTTTCTCTTTTGTTGTATTTACTCACTTGTCCATATATTGCGTCAACCTAACGTACGCGATGCAAGCGGCATCCTCGCCGAGCAGATGGACATGAGGATTCAGGATCGTCGTATTGACTGCCTTACAGTTTTTCCCCAGGACTGCTTATGTAGTATTGACGAGAAACAAAGTGAAGAGTTACTCGAAAACTGTGATTCATTAACGTGCGGATGTAATAGCTTTTTACAATTTTTACAATGTCAAAATATTGCAAAAAAAAAACGAACAAAAGAGAAACGAAAGAGCGGGCGACAACAACTTTCATAGAAATATATTTTTTCGTTATCAATATTTTTGGTGCAACACTTTGGGGTATGTATTTTTTATTACTTGAAATTTTAACTAATACTGAATATTTTAAGAATAAAAATAATCTAACTTTCTTCAAAATTATAAGACTTCTGAGACGTTAAAGTTGTAGAAAAAATGATAAAATTTCAGAAAGCTATTTATTAATTTTACAACAATTTTATAAGTTTCTGTCTATATATAAACAAATTAAAATATAAGTGCAAAACCTTTTAAAAATAAAGTCTTGTGATCCTACTAAATGTCTCATGATTCGAATAATATATCTTTCTAAAGAATCATCGACAATCAACAATTTCAGATGCCTTCGCCTACTCCCATTAGTCTCAGTAAATTAAAGGGAAATACAAAAATGGAATAACAAGAAGCTAGATTAATGTTAATTTAGATTTCGCGAAAACAAGCATGCATACATCGACTGATCGACTTAGGGAATGATGAGCCAATCGACTCGCATTTAGAGAATGAGCAAAAATCAACGATGTATCATACTCGTATTTGGAGAAACTTTCATCACTATAAATTAGATAATTTCGTGTAATAATAAAAATAATAAAAATAAAATTGCAATTACGTCAAAATATATTTTATAAATATCCAATTTGCTATAAATTATACTTTTATTAGACGACAAACTAATAACTAAATTTGTAAGCGGATACTTTGCTTTCTAAAAATAAATTCGTCGAGACAGACGATGATGATGACAAACGTACAAAAACATAATATTTATTGACGATTCCATGTCATAAATAAACTACAAAATAAACGACAAGAGCCACATAGCAAAAGCCACAGCGACATAACAGTAAGCAATCAACATTTTATACATATATTCGCAATTTCGTTTAGTGAAACGACAAGCTAAACTACATTAAAAAAGTAAGGAAAAATTTTTCGTGAAGCTATCGTCTCAAAACTTATGTTTTCCCGAAACTTGTTATCGGTTTAAATGAGAATCTACAAACATAAAACGTTTCCGCTGTATTAATCATACGCTGTCAAAACACGTTACTACTAAATACACAATAAGTGTATAAAATGATGCAAACGAGTCGTAATTACCATTATCAAAGTAAAATTTGTGGAAATCCATTCCCTCGACTAAATTACCTAAAGCCTCCGGCTCGAAAGCAGTCAGATGTGGATCACAGATTTTCCTGAAAGTACAAAAAGGGATTAGCATATTTTGCATTGTAATAATTATATAATATCGTTTTTTAATAGCACGTATTGAAATTAAAGGAAAAATCTTTCCATTGAAGAAAAAATGATTCCAAATTAGCTGAAAGATGGATATGCATACATACATGTCGACAAATTAAAAAAAATGAGAAATATCATATATATATATATATATACATATATATATATATATA